GATCGGTCGGCGCCGGACCGCGAATTTAACCACCCGTAACTCCCGAACCCCAGGGGCTATCGACGCGGTGGTGGTCTCATTCGAAAGAGGGCCTCGAGACGTACACTCGATTCGCGTTTGAGAGGGTTCTTCGAGCTGAAGGGATCCCCCGAATTTGGTGCGAATTCGCTGTGCCGTTACGGAGATACGGCTGTTCAAAGTTTCAATGGTTTTCAAGCATTTTATCTGCATTATATGTTCTGTAAACAAAAATGTTCATATCAGCGGCATATCGGCAGCATATTCGCCGATACCGATATATCGGCGACAGGCTCATATCGGCCGATAATATCGGCAAAACGATATATCGGTCGGGCTCTAGTTTTAATCTTTAAAGGGGTCATATGATGTTGCTAAAAAGAACATTATTTGGTGTATTTGGTGTAATGAAATGTGTTTATGCAGTTTAAGGTTCAAAAAACACATTATTTCCCACATCCTGTACATTATTGTTTCTCCTCTATGCCCCGCCTTTCTGAAAAACGTTGATATTTACAAAGCTCATGTGTTGTGATTGGCCGAATACCTCAAGCGTGTGACGGAAGAGTGAGCAGGGGTCTTGAGTGAGCGGAGGGCGGCGGGCTAGAGTGAGCGGAGGTCAGCGGTTAGAGTGAGCGGTGGCGGGCGGGCTTGAGAACGGTGCAGCCAGCGGGCTTTCGGCAACCACATGTGACGACCCCGGTCTGGACTACACTTCGTCCACGGTGAAAGCCGATCCAGCGATCCACAGTGTGAAGTTGATGTATTTCCTCAGTGACCAGCACAGATTAGCTCCAGGCATTACGAAGCGGATATCGTCCTCTTTTGGAAGGCCAAACAAAGTAGTTTCGCTTTCACAACGAAACACACAGCGCCTTCACGACATGGCAGTGGCGGCAACAAAAATACTACAGCGAGAATAAAAGTTACGCTTTCTTTCTTTGTGTGAACATTTGGGTGGCGTTATGCAAATCTTCCCACATCGTGACATAGACGTGGGGGTGTGTTAGAACGAGCCGTTTTAGGTAGGTGTAGCTGACTCTTTAACTTTTATAAAGAATATCTCTTTGGATTTGAGACTTTAGTCTTTGCAACTATACAGATCTTCTTTATGCACCAAGAGCTTGTAACACTTCAAATAGAAAGGAAAAATTTAAAATCGCATCATATGACCCCTTTAACATTAGGTATATGTATATACTAATATTTAGGCGATGTTAATTTATGAACTATAAGTTTTAAAATGTTTTAAGTTATTGATTTTATGTTCCTATTCAGAAGCACCTGTCCACAAAATGTTAAAATAAATAACATAATATATCTGTCCTCTGAGCAAAGCATCTGCTTCACGCACCATTCTACGCTCCCCAAAAATTGTGCTGATAAACGCTCGCTCTCTGGTGAACAAGACGTACATCCTGAACGATTTTACCACTACTCACGACCTGGATTTTCTGTTTATCACGAGACCTGGGTGAAGTTAGGGGACCTCAGTCCATATTCTGAACTTGTTCCAGCCAACTATCACTTTTACAATGCTCCGCGATCATCAGGCAGAGGTGGCGGGCTAGCCATCATTGCTAAAGATTCTTTCAGACCTCGATGCCGACTGTTATCTTCCGCCACCTTCACGAGTTTTGAAGCTCAGATTTTACTTCTGAACTGGTCTGAACCTGTGGTCTTAGCTCTGACCTATCGGCCACCACATCTAATCAAAGACTTCATAGTAGAGTTTAAATAGTTTGTAGGGGATTTGATCACCAAACACGATCACATCCTTATTTTAGGTGACTTTAAACGTCCATGTATATTGCCCCTCTTAGCAGCTAACTCCTGGGTTTTTAAACATCATTGACTCTTTTAACCTGCTGCAGTGGGTTAATCATCATACACATACTCATGGACACATTTTGGATCTAATTTGGTCACATGGTCTATCTGTAACTGATGTTGAAGTCGTCGATTCTGTTATCTCTAATCATTTTTCTGTTTTATTTAAATTGTCCCTCCCACTTCCTCCTCTTACACCTGCCTCGGATGGTACACAAGCCCGTGAATATTTGCCTAATTTTTGTGAGGATTTTGTCAAGCTCTATAATGAGGTCAACCCTCTTTTATCATTAGAGTCTCTATTATCTGATCTTGATGCTGAAAATCATTTTATCGTTTTAAATACTGCATGGACAGATATTTTAAACCTTACAGCTCCTTTAAAGCTCTTTAAGCCAAAATCTACATCTAAATCGGAGCCATGGATTGATCATAGTATTCGTTGCTTGCTGGAAAGCAGAAAGGAAGTGGAAAAAGAACAAATTACAGAGTTCTTATGAGATCTTAAAAAATTACCTTTGTTCATCTTCACAACACAAATTAAGATGCTTTTGATGAAATCCAAGACATAGACAGCAATGCAATTACCACTTTCAAGGCCCAGAAAGGTAGTAAGGACATCAATAAAATAGACCATGTGACGCATACATGTGCATTCCTCTGCTTGCAAACAAGGCGCAGCGCATCAGGGTTCTACATCAGAACGCCAGCTCCTGTGTCAGCAGCATCACACGCATCCATAGTGATACTCTTGTGAATGCGTGGCGAAGACTGACACGGAAGAGAAAAAATTGTTGAATAAAGTCGTTATTTTGGTTTTCTTTGCGCACAAAATTTATTCTCGTAGCTTCATAAAGTTAAGGTTGAACCACTGACAATTTTAACAATGTCCTTACTACCTTTCTGGGCCTTGAATGTGGTAGCTGTGTTGCTGTCTTTGCCGGGTCAGAAAGCTCTCAGATTTAATCAAAAATATCTTAATTTGTGTTCCGAAGACGAACAAAGGTCTTACGGGTTTGGAATGACAGGAGGGCATGTAATTAATGACAGAATTTTCATTTTTGGGTGAACTATCCCTTTAAGCATTGTGTGTGGGCTAATTCTCTAAACAGAGACATGTGTGATTTCTAAGGACACCAATTACAGACAGAAAGAACTGATCTGAGCTGTTTGGTGACTGTTGGTATAATGTATGTAAGAACAGTATATATGTACGCATGGATAGTCACCGTTGGTTGAGCTCCTCCCGTGCCTTTCTCCTCTCTTCCTCCAGGCCTTTCTGCAGCTCTTCAGCTATCTTTCTTCTCAGTTCAGACTCATGCACTAAACAAAAGACAAAACATGCATATTAGATGTTGAGCTACTGCTTATATGCCATATGGTTTTTCCAGAGCATTTGATTTTGTTGTAGCATTTCATAGGAGGTCCTAGAATGGCAATGTCCTGTGGGTAACAAAGTTTAATGTTGTATTGTACACTTGAAGTATCTTTGAGGCAAGTTTGTACTTGTTTGTAAAGAAGTTTGTAAGCGAGTACAGTGAGGTAGGATGGTATTTTGAGCCCTCAGGATGTCTCTGCCTTATGAGGCAAAGCGAGAGAAACCAAAATACAGAGGACAGGGGTCCTATACGCCTATGCACTGACAATGACTATAAAAATCACTTTCAAACACACACACTTCAAAAAATACACTTTTCTGTTGATATCAACACCGCCACAGTCAAACGTGTCAGTGTGTGTCCTGTTCTTTATCTGGATGGCTAATTGTCCGTGAAAGCACAGCGGAGATATAAAACGGACAAACTCTTAGCTGCCAGTCGAAAAAAGTCGAAAAAGTCGAGGCCTGGAGCTACTGCATGACAGGAAGTCCAAGTGTTTTGCAGATGGAGACACAGGCTTATAGTTTGTAAAAACACTTAGTCTAAAAACATACAAATAGAAAATAAATTAACAAAGTACTAAAGCAATCGTTCCTTACAGACATGTCCAAGTCAAATCTTGTCACAAATCCAAGTTGAGTCTAGAAGGAAAAATAAGACGTTTTACTTAAATCAAAAGATAATTTTATCTTTAAAATCATGTAGTTCTGAAATAAATTTTTTTTTCATTATTCACTTGTTAAGGGCTGGATCATTTAGCTAAAAAAATTAATAAATAAAACTAACTTTTTGGCAAACTTCTTTCTGTAAACAGCACAGATTTCTCTCCCCACAGTAAATAAATGAGAACTTTATGGTAATCACGATTTGTTATGCAACATATTGAAAAAATATTTCTTCTTGGACACTAGTGATGTTCAAAAGTCTCTAATCCAGAGTAAAAACTAAACAAAACAAAACAAAAATCACAAATAAAATAAAAAACAAGAAACAAACAAACAAAACAAAACCCAAAACTAAAGCAAAACAATATTTAACTAAAAAAGTATGTCAAATCTCAAGGCAAGTGCATTTAAATTCAATCCATGTCTCAAATCCTAAAATCAATAAAATGTAAGTCAATACAAATAAATTGATTTTTGCGACTTACTGTAAAGTGAGACTCAAGTTTTCATCTTTCAGTTTTAAAACGTTGAAAATATTGTTAAAGGCTCTTATATTACTCTTATACAAATGAAAGGAAGACGCAGTAGCTGCCATTAATTTAAAGTGATGTTTTATAAGCAGCCGCCGGAAGGAGCAGTCACTATGGGTGCCATATGGTTTGGTTGTATAACAATGTTCTTTTTAGAAACAATTTGAGAGAAACACTAAAGTTATCACATACACCAACCTTCTTCAAGACTAATGAGAAATCCTCCTGTTGCCGTGACAATGCTGAAGAGGAAATCAAAATTAATTGCGGACGCTGGAAAGGCATATATCAAACAGCAGGCTAGCGTAATGGATAAAAGCAGACAGGTGCTGTCTAAACCTCAAACCCAGAAGATACCATCAAATTAAAGATATGGTATGATAACGGACATCCTTCACTTTTTAGTCATACCACAACTAAAACAAGGCGATCTTATTTATATATATATAAGTTTCCTTTCCACGTGAACTCTTTGACTGCAGTCCTTCCACAACACGAAGGATCATCAGAGCATACACAACAGATTCACTCACACGGTTTAAAAACTGAATGCAGAAAATGGCAGAGATGGTAATGAAGACAGAGAATTTGTAATGTCGATGAGTAGAGGTCAAGCAATATTAGTACTCAATGGCTGATGCTGATAACTAGAGAGCAGGACCTATAGGTATAGGCTGAAATAATGTGGGTCTCATTCAATAACTGTACAATTTCATACTTTTTGTGCAAAATAATTTTACATGTAAAAATTCCACCAATGATCTCCTGTAAGGTCACTTCGTTATTAAATAAATGAATGAATGCAAAATTATAATGTTTTTATCAT